AGGGGAAGGGGAAAGGAAAGAAGGGAAAGGAAAAATTATGAGAAAAGGAAAAAATGGAAACAAAGTCTTTGTAAATAGGGAAGGGTGGAGGGGGGAAATGGAACACAGGGAATGAGGAAAAAATAAGAACCAAGATCCATCATGTACAGGTACAACACCCAATGATAAATGTAAGCATATTATATACCTAAAATGTACCAATAAAAGAATTTAAGCAAAAAAAAAAAAAAGAATCTAGTAGATCCTTTTTGTCCTTCTTGAAAGTTTGATGGATATTATGAGACAACTAAAGTATTAAAAGCAAAAGTATTATTTGAGTCCATCTATATTATTATTATTAAACCTTAAAATTGTACCTTTCACAATGGCTTCATTATTTATGAGCCTCCTGGTTATATACTAATTTATTTTTTTACTTCCCTCAGCAACTTATATGTACTGTCAACACACTGGCATCTGTTACGAGTTTTTTCTGTTGTTATTTTTTGCATTTCTTTTTGTTCTTTCTAAGGAAAACTAATTTTAAGGTTTATCATTTTAATTCATACATAATGTTTTTAAAGAAATAGTAACAAAAACAAAATGGCATCCCCTGCTCCTTTCTCTTATTGTTCTCTCGTCTTATACCTGGCAAGCTATTTCTTTTGCCATTTACTTCCATATTCCTAAGAAGTATGCACACATTATTATTTCCTCATCTATATATTTCAGGCATTATCATATGTTTTTCTCTTTTTAAAGCTGTTTATATTGGTTTAATCTATGTAAAATGTAGTTTACAATAGGATAGGACAAGTATATTTGTATAGGATATACAGACATACCATGGGGGTCAGAGGAAGGGCAGGGAGACAACTTTCCTGTGGGAACAGCAGCTCCACTCCTGGGCAGCCAGGATTCTCAGCCAGCCTGGACTGTACCCTCTGCTTCAGCTCAGGTCCCAGTTCCTGCCCCACCCTAACTACTTATAAAGAGGCCCATGAACTAAGTAAGACTAAGGAGACGATTGTGTCCCTCTAGGGGAGGTGGCCCACATCTGGGAGAAATATATACTCCTGAACACTATGCACACGGGAAAGGGAAGCGACACCACTGGAGAGGCAGAGGCCAGAAACCCAAGTGGTGGATGGGCTCATCCCTGGAGGAGGCACTGTTTCGGGGGGGGGCGGGGGGAGGAAGAGGAAGAGAAGAAAAGGAGAAGGAGGAGGAGGAGGGAGAAAAGGAGAAGGGATGAGCGAGGAGAGAGAGAGGAGGGGAAGAAGGGAGAGGAGGGGGGAAGAAGAAGGAGAAGGAGGAAAAGGAGGAGAAAGAAAGGAGAGGGAGAGGGAGAAGAAGAAGGAGAAGGAGAAGAAGAGGAAGAGGCTCATAAGACCAGTGGGAGAGGGGCTAGAGGTGAAGGTGTTGTCTCACTTACACATGACATTGTAAACACACACAGTCCGTATTACATGTGCTTCAGTCTGGTGTTTGTATGTGTGTCCATCTGGAAGCTGGATCTCAGGATCTTTACCTGCTACTTTCTGTCCTATACTGGGAACAGAGGCTGGGTCAGGTATTGTCCCCAAGTTTGGTGACAGCCAGCAGGCAGGGCCACTCTGGTTCCACCATCCTGTGTGTATATGTGTATGTGTCCATGTGTGTATGTGCAGGTAGGTACATGGGGAACTTGTGCGCGAGTACACACAAGAGGACAGGGTCACAGCCAGAGGCTTGGGGCAGGTAGGGCTGCACCAGGCAAGGCCTGCCTGGGTGGCTAGCTCACAAGTACACCCTCCACAGATCTCCAGGTGCTGTGATCATGTTGCACTGACAGCAGAGCTTCCTGGCACCCAGGGTTCACAGCCAGCATTCCTCACAGTGCACATGACAACACTGGATGGACATTAAGGGCATCCATTCCAGGTCCATGCAGATGAGATATTTGTATGCCCCACCCCAGACAGCTGCCATTCAAGCTCCCTGATCTGAGTCTTCAAGGGCTCAAACATGGTTGCAGCTGAATCTTTGGTGATTTTCTCAATGTCCCTCTTCTTACAGGTCTTCTGCATGGCCTGTTTTCACCAACGCTGGTAGATGACATCTCATCACTGATCCATTTAGAGGACTCAGGTGTGACACAGGTACTGGGAGCCCACCATTTAGGACTGCACTTTACCTGTAGGAGTGCCTCTCCTGAATGCCACCAGGCTCCTTGCCTGCACATGCAGGAGATGACACCAGCCTTTGGGGTAGTGTGACTTCCTGTGCCTAGAGTGTCCCCCCACCACATCCAAGCCAGCATCACTGTCCAGCTTCTCTTGGCCGCTGCACACAGTGACACCAGAGCTTCTGAACCACCTTCCAGGAGGGTAACGGTGTATATTCAAGCTGTTCTAGCGCTTGATGTCCATGGCATCACCCTCAGCCATTCAGGAGCTTTCCCTCTTAAAAAGACCATGCTCCACATGCCTGTTCATCTCCTGTGCACATCCTGCTAGGGAACGTTCGCACAGGGGACATACTTGTCCTTCATCTGGATTCCTGTTTCATTTTCCCAACTTCTGGCCAGGGATTTAGCTCAGTGGTTCCGCCACCTGCCTCGCAAGTGCAAGGATCTGAGTTCGATCCCTGGTACCAAAAAAAAAAAAAAAGTTTAATCATTTTCCCAACTTGGAAGACTCTCGGAGGAAGATCTACTTCCTCCTTCTTGCCCAGTCTCCTGCTCCTCCCAGTGGTCTGGTCCCCAGGCAGCAGTCTGGTTGGCCCTGACCACTTTGGTGTCTTCCTCTCTTAACCAAAACAGATTTAGGCCACTTTGTTCCCCTTCTCCATACTTCCATGATGATTAAACTACAGCTTTGGGTTTACATTATTATTCATATCCTGTAGATATTATTTACATGAACCAGGTGGAGTATAGTTCTTTTCATAAAGTGAATTATTATTTCTTTAAAAATAACTCAGCTTTCTACAAACCTGTCCTTGCAGTTTTCTGTGCTGTATGAACTGTCAAGTTTTTCTATGGCAGCAGATTCACTGGTTCAGTCACTTCTCCCTGGGTCCTCCATCGACTTGCTCTGCACTGGTTTGTGTCTCCTGGAGCTGCTACCTGCTTGCTCTGTTGACAGCCACCTTCCCTGTTGGTTTATACACTGCCTTTCCAGAGCATTTCCTTCAATAGCGCTCGAGGACTTTAAACTTTGGAATGTTTGCACATCTAGCAATGTCTTTGGATTGATTAGAAGTTTGGCTGAATGGGTATTGCTAGGTTGAAAATCATTCCCGTTGGAATACGAAGAATCTTTTCTCTTCATTTTCCTAGAACTGCTGGGGAAGTCATACATAATCTGGCTTCTGTGTCCTCACACCAACTGTCTGGTTCTTTCTGTCAGCACTTCCAAGATGCATAGGACACAAACCATTCATGTAATTAAGTTTTCTAGTAGCTACCTTAAAACAAAATAAAAAGAAACAAGGGAAATTAATTTTAATGACATGCTTTATTTAAACCAATGTGTTAAAAATATATGATTTCAACATGTGCTCAATACTTAAATTATTAGTGTAGCATTGTAATTTTTTTTGGTGTATACTAGAGCCTTTATAATCTGGTGTCTGTTACAGTTGTAGCACATTTCAGCTTGGATGAGCCCCATTCCAAGTGCTGCACAGTCACTTGTAACAAATGACTGCCACACTTGGCAGAGTGACCTTTTCTCTTGACTTCTCATGTACTAAAGGTGCAGGTCAATCAATGTGGGTTGTTTGCATTGTTATGCTGGGCATCCATTCAATCCAGAGACTCACACACTGCAATTTTGAGAGATAGTCTTGAATAATAATAATAATAATAATAATAATAATAATAATGCTATTATTGTTATTATGTCATTTCCTCCCATCTTTTTCTCAGTTCCTCTTTCTGAAACACCTATGAGTTAGATATTGGACCTTCTGGATTGATTCTTTAAGTTAATTATTCTTTCTCTATTATCCTTTTCTTTTTACAGTATGTCTTGGTTCACCAACAGAAGTATTTGGCAAAATTTTGCTTCCATTCACAAACTCCACATTAGGTGATGAATACAACCATGGCCATCTTCCCCACACAAATACAAATGCAACCATCCTCCCCACTCTGACATGTGGTTGTGGATTCCTCTAGTTGAGATTACAGTCACAGGCAGACTTGTGCACACCTGCTGTGAAGCTTGTGTGCTTTTTAGCACATACAGTACTGTACAGTATTATTCAACCTAGCATGGCTCCAAAGAATGTGCCGAGTAAACATGGTGGTAAAAAGAAAATGTAGAGTGGTAATGAAGGTGACAAGAATGTGTAGGGCAATAATGAAGGTAACCAGAATGTGCAGAGCAAGAATGGTAAGAAAAAGGTTTAAAAGAAAATAACCATTGAATTGAAGGAAATTGAAGAAAAGCATTTTCATGGTATTCACATGGTTGATCTGGCTTTGGAGTACAGGGTGGCAAAGTCGACAATCTCAACTATTTTGAAGAATAAAGATGCCATCAAGGGAGCTGATATGGCAAAAGGAATACATTGTTAGCCAAGCAGAGGACACAAGTGCTGGGAGAGGTGGAAAAGCTTTTGTTAGTGTGGCTGAATGAGAAACAGCTGACAGGTGATAGTGTTAGTAATGCTATGATCTGAGAAAAAGCCAAAAAATTGTACAGTGATTTACTGCAAGAAAACCTCTCTACAAGTGCAACAAGTGATGAATTTAAAGCCAGTAGGGTGGTTTGATAAATTATGCAAGTGAAGTGGCATCCACATTGTGATAAGACATGGGTGAGGCTTCCAGTTCTGACAAGACCGCTGCAGAAGCCTACAAAGAAGAATTTGCAGACTTCATGAAAGCAGAAGAATGTGTCACTCAACAAGTGTTCAACTGTGATGAAACAGGGTTCCTCTGGAAGAAGATGCCATATAGAACTTATATCATGCAGAAGGAAAAGGCACTGCTGTGGCATAAGTATATGATGAACAGATTGACCTTTTGGTGTATGTGAACAAAAGCACTCATATGAAGATTAAGCCACTACTGGTGTACCATTCCTAGACTCCTTGTGCATTCAAGGAACAGAATGTGAACAAGGCCAGACTTCCTGTTATGTGGAAGGCCAATGGAAAAGCCTGGGTCACAGGACAATTGCTCATGGAATAGCTGCATGAGGTATTCTCACTCTCCGTTAAAAAATATCTTTCTGACAACCAACTGCCTGAAGGGTGCTTTCTCCTGATGGACAATGCCTTGGCACACCCTCCAGCCTTGGTGGATGATATGGATGCTGAGTATGACTTCATAAAGATCAAGTTCCTCCCCACAACATGACACCTCTTCTTCAGCCCACGGACCAGCAAGTGATCTGCAACTTCAAGAGGCTGTGCACAAAGGCACTCTACACCAGATGTTGTAATGTCACTGAAGAGATGTCCTTGACTCTGAAAAAGTACTGGAAGAAACATTTCAATGTCCTCCACTGCATTAATCCCATTGACAAAGTCCAGGAAGATGTCACATATCGAACCTTAAACTCAGCCTGGAGGAAACTGTGGCCAGAATGTGTCACTGAATGTGACTTTGAAGGATCTGATGCACAGGTAATGGAGGAGATTGTGTCCATGGGCAAGAGTATGGGTCTGGACTACAACAGTGCAGACATAGAGGAGCTTGTTGAGGACCATAAGGAGGAGCTGATGACAGAAGAACTTGTTGAACTCCAGACTGACACAGAAGATGCTTGTTGAGGTGCATTCCACTGAGGAAGAGCAAGACAGGGAGGAGGTTAGCAGCGATGTGATCAAATCCATTGTGGAAAAATGGAATAAGTGTCAGGATTTCATTGAGAAGCACCACCTCAACATAACTTGTAATGAACAGTGTTGAATCTGATGAATGATAATGTGGTCTCTCATTTCTGGAAAGTTATGAAGCACAGGAAAAAACAATGACATTAGACAAATTTTTCATCAAAATTGACCCTGCAGCTAAGAGACGAAGAAGAGAGTAAACCCCTGAAGATCTCCCTGCTGTCCTGATGGAGGCAATTCTCTCTCCAAACAATAACCTCCTCCCCACTCACCTTTCTGTGCTCCACACCAGACATCGCATCAAGCAAGGTTAGTGTTCTTTCTCCATACTGTACTTTGTTTCATATTTTTGTGGTTAAAAAATACATATGGTTCAGAATGGATAAATCTTATTTACATTGAAACTTATGGGAAAATTTGATTTGGTTTGCAACCAAAATCAGTTCACGACCACATTCTTAGGGATCAGAACAGATTAACTTTATTTACATTGAACCTTATGGGGAAATTTGATTCAGTTTGCAACCAATTTGTTCATAGAATGAATTAAGTTTGTGAACGTATGTGCCATTGTACTTTCTTTTTGTTTTATTTCCTGGGAAATTTACTCTTACATTCCAACCTTCTTTTGATGTTTCAGTTCAGTTGCTGTGATTTTAAGTTTTCTCTTGTTTCCTTTTATATCATCACACCTGTTCTTTCTCCTTTTTTTTGGTACTGGGGATCGAACTCTGGTCCTTGCGCTTGCGAGTCAGGTGGCGGAACCACTGAGCTAAATCCCTGGCCCACACCTGTTCTTTTGTGTGAATGTAATGTCTTATTTGTTAGATGTCAAAGATTTTTAAAAAGTTTTGCTCTGTTCTAGTCATCACTTGTTTCTGATAAATTCTGTTCTGTTGTTCTTCACATAGTACTGATACTTGTAGTACCTTCTCATTCAAAAGGGAGTGGTGTCAGGGGATGACCAGGGCTTCTCAGTTGTGGGCTTTGCTGCATGATGATCAAGTAGAAAGCCAAACTTTTCTCTTTGAAAGATCAGGAGAGTTAGGGGCAGTGACACAGAAGATGGTCCACAAAAGATACTTTTTCTGAAGATGTCTCAAACACCTTGACAAGTCAGTATATTGGTAATATCCTAGAACATTCAAGGACGCCGCCCAACTCACCTTTAGAGGCCCCTAATGAAAAGGGTAGACAATCATGATGGTCATCAGCTGTCTGAAGAATCAATTGATGTCTAATTTCCATCTTACATGTGGCTAAGAGTCCCCACTAGTCTGTAACAATAGTATGTATTGTAACAAAGACGATCTATGAGCAGGTGAAAGAAGAGCAACAGGATTTCACATTCAGTATGCAGATTTAATTTCACTCTCCTTCCCTCCCTTTCTCCCTCCTCTTCCCTCCTTTCTCTTTCTTTTACTTTTTTCCTTTTCTTTAGTTCAGAGCCTCACTTCCCCTTGTGTCTGGTGCTCATATGTGGAGCTGCTACCCTTCTGTATCTACATAAGCCTATACGCTCTCTCTTGAAGCAAGGTGAGTGGTAATCTGGTTGCTTGATTTGGAGAAGGGATCAAGGGGGCCAGCCTTTTTCTATAGACCACCAGCCAGTCCTGGCGCAGGGTGTGTTAGGGAGAACCTGTGTTCAGTGCTGCCACATGTAGTCCTGCAAGCCAGTAGCTCTCCCTTCCATTCCATGAAGCCAGTTAGCTCTGCTCTATGCACTATTCTTCTCCAAAAATAACTGTTGATATTTCTTTTTCTGTGTTCTTAAAAATATTTCCCCCTAGTACTGGGGACTGAGCCCAGAGCTTTGTACAAGCTAGGCAAGCATTCTATCTCTGAGCTACACCTGCAGCTATGAATGTATCTTCATTCTGCTCTAATTTTAGTGAAGTCTAGGAAGGAAGAGGAAAGGAAAGTGACTGCTCTGACATCCAGAAGTCCTCTATTAGACTTTATATATAGCCTATTCCTAGTTTTTGCTTAGAAAAAGTAATATAGTATCAACTATTATAACCATGCCTATATAATTCCAATATAATTTGTATCTATCATATTTAGTACAATATATGAAAAGTAATATATGATTTTCTTTCAGCATTATTTATAGAGAAGTACTTGATTATTTTACCTGTTGTTGTTGTTGTTATTATTATTATTATTATTATTATCATCAGTACCAGGGATCAAATTCAAGACCTTGTGCCTACGAGGCAGGTGGTGGAACCACTGAGCTGAATCTCTGGCCCTATTTTACCTGTTTTTAAAAGATAGATTATGAACAATAACAAGAAACCTAATGTGACTGATTATTTTCCTCTCATGATTGCTAATACAATTTGATTGGTTGATAGCAAACTTTCCAGGGAAAACTTTCCTACCTTTAAAAGGCACAAATGAAAATTTGGTTGATAGTAATTTCTGAGAAACTTATTTCTACATTTAAGAATATAAACAAAAATTCTTAGCTTTGTCTTATGCAAACTTAATTATTTTTAAAGGTATCAGTTGATTTATTTTTTTACCTTTATTCAATAGTAATTAATTTCTTAGGCACTTGTCACAATTCTTCAAAAAAATAGAGCGTGTTCTCTTCTCAGAAGAGAAGAAAATCCATGATGGGGCTATTTACAGAGATGTGGGCCAGGCTAAAGGAAACCAGGGAGGGATGTGGGGGGACCCAGGGGCCAGGAGGGATGGCCTGATACAGCAAAGGGCAAGAATAGTGTTGTTACCAGTGAGCACTGGAGCTGTCAACATAATAGGATTCCATCCCTGACAGGGAGAGAAGACTGGGATAGAAAAAACCTGGCACTACTCTCTTCTTGCTCTTTAACCTACACCTGTTGACCAAACTTGGCCAAAAGCAAAAGTTTGTGGGATGCAACCCACAGGGGTCAGCCCCAGACCCTGAGCCAGAGAAGGACAGAGAATGGCAAAGGGATCAGGCGAGGCAAAGATGGGCAGCATGAGCTAGGCCACAATACAAACTTGGTTATGTAGGCTTCATTTGGAGAGAATTGGAAACTGTTTGATAACCACAGAAACTTGGGATAATGGTATCTCCCATTCCAACTTCTGTCCAGGTTTTCATTTCAGTTTCTCTTTAGGGCCAGGAATGCTGTGCTAAGGACTACTTGGTCGTTCTGCTTGAAAGAAGCTGTGTTTACACACTTAAGATTTTCTAAGGAGATATGAAAATTATAAGTTCTTCATAGTTGAAGAAAACAGAAATATTTTGTACTTTTTAGTCAACATTTTCTCTATAGGATTAACAATTTAAGAGAAATTCCAGTTCTCAAATCTATAACAATGCAGCTTAATTTGCCTGACTTGTGCTTCAGATTTGAAATTTAAGGATCCTAGTAAAATGTTAGTGTTTTCTTTTACTACCTGTGAGGATGGTACTTTTAGCAAAATCTTAATTAGACATGTTAATAAAAATCACTTTATTATTTTTCACTTTGATTTCATTGAGCTATATTGAGGTTAATCTTTTGGCCCTGTAATAGGTACTATGTGCATGGAAGAACTGAGAATTGAGCTTTTTGTTTATTTCTCAAATACTCTCTTGAATTGCCTCTGCTTAGTTTTCAAAAGGTGGTTTCCTGGATCTCTATTCATTTGTGCACTGCACCCTCTCTTTCCCTTTGTAAATTTGGACAATTCATCTCCTTGCCCTCTCTTTGGTGTCCAGAAGTCCTTGTCTATGAAACACTGTTGCTTAGCGACAGGTTAACAAGTTCTTCCTCTCTGTAGCAAATGACAAAAGAGCTGACCAGAGCATCCACTACTTGTATTTATCCAACAAATACAGATACAGTTTCTTGTATGGCGAGACAGTAAAATTTTGTATCTTTAAACTGCAGCAAGATTCAAAATAAATATATTTTTTAAGAAATAAACATTTCTTATTAGAATTTGCACACTGATTTGATTTTGAAACAATCCTTTTACTTAAAAAGATTCTTTGTAATGAAATAAGGTGAATCTTTTTCTACTAACTTCAAATGAAGAAAATAGACACAATTTAAGCTATTAGAAAACCTCTAAAATACCTTTTCAAAATAGATTCCTTCATACAGTGTTTAGAATAGAAAGAGAATGATAAAGTATTCTTCACATTACCTTATATCAAATTTGAATACATAGGGAAAGCCAATTTGGGATTCATAATATCGTACTATGACATTGCGAGGTATCAAAAACTTAAAAAACATCTTTAAAGTCAACACCTGAAATGCCAGCACTCCAGGACACTGAGCTAAGAGGATCACAAATTTGAGCCCAGTCTGGGCAACCTAGTGAGGCCCTGTCTGAAAAATAAAAAAGGGCTGGGACGTAGTTCAGTGTAAAGGCCTGGGTTCAGTCACCAGTACTGCAAAACTAAACAAACAAGCAAACAAAAATCTTCACAAAATTCTAATGTTAAATTCTATTAGACTGGGAAGCAAATAAAGCTAAAATGAAGTTTCCCATTTTGTCATAAAGAACCATCACATTGCAGAGTCTTCACCTGCCAAACAAACTGTTCTTAAAATGCCTGTTGCTAGGGAAAGAGAAAGTGTTTACCCTCGAGCTTAAATTTTACAAGATATGTAAAGTTTTAGCACTGCTCATGTTGGCCAGGATGGAGTGAAAGCACTTTATCTCTCCCACTCATCGGAGAAATTCTGGACAAAATTAAATATTGACTTCCTGAGGACTCTGACAAGTAATCAGTGGCAAGTGAATTGGAAAGGGGAAGAGGAGGTGTCAAAATATGAAGAAGCCACGCATATAGGAATGTGTTTTCCAGATTTCTGTTCTCTTAATTCTCTGCGGTTTGATATAAAGACTGCCCCTGTCAAGGAACTCCCTAGTCGAGCTCCTTGTGAACCCAATAATGCAAAGGCAAATCTTGCCCGCTGCCTCTGTCTCTCTCCAGTCTGCACAGAAGCAGAGAATCCCCTTCCTAGGTCTCTTCTACTCAGCATCTTCCCAGCCTCTTTTGCTCCCAGTAGGCCTCCTTGCTTTGTGTTCTGGCTAGAAAGATGAAATTCCTCTCTGAGTACTATATTCCCCCTTTCTAATGCCCCCTGCCTTTTCCAAAAGAATTACTCCCAGGTGGAAAACAGGAAAAAAATGTAAATTCCTCCCACATTCTTCTGAACACAGGGTCACTTCTTCCTGCTTCCTCTGAGTGGTAAGACAGGTTTCCCTTCACAGGTACAGCTCATTGTGCCAAGGTTTGGCCTTTGCAGTACTTATCCATGAAGAGGGTTCCCTTTAGGTCAGGAATGAGAGACAGAAAAAAGTATCTAAAAAAAAGAACACACTCTCTCTCTCTGGCTCCACTTTTAAAGAAAGTGTTGCAGATTGTTCTCCCACAAGCATTGCATGAGAGTTGCAGCTCCTCACATTCTTCCCAGCACTGGAAAATGAGGAGTCTTCTCCCTGCAGGAATTCTAACAGGGATATAGTAGTATCTCATTGAGGTTTTTAAAAACAGCTTTATTTATTTATCTATTTGTTAATTTCTTTTATTGGTATATTGTAGGTATACAACACAATTACCTTTCTCATTGGGAATTGTACCTTTACATAATGCATCTTGGTTCTCATTTTTCCCCATTCCTAGCCCTCCCTTCACGCCCTCCACCCTTCCCTATTTACAAAGACTTTATTTCCATTTTTTCCATTTCTCAGCATTTT